TTAACAAGAAATCACAAAAGTCATCTGACCTTACCTTCTCATCATCTCGAAGATTCTTGGACATACCCAGAAAATAGAACTCACTATTTCTGAGAATCCTGACTTCTTTGGATGACTTAAAGGATTAGAAAAGTCTTTTGAAAATTAATAATTTCCCCCAAGTTTCCTACAAGTTAGGAAAGATTTTTCAGAGTTGGTAATGAAGTCAAAGTGCTCAAGCACTTTTTGAGCTGTGTGTTAAGCACTGTGTTAGGTGTTTGTCGTTCATTATCTTCTTTGATCTTCTCAATAGTCCTAGGGAGCAGTTATCTTGTTCTTTAATAATTCCATTCACAATAGCATCAAAAAGAACTAAATCTTTATAAGTATGTATAAAATTAACTATAGAAGTGTAGTATTTGTATGCTGAAAAGTAGAAAGAAGACCTAAACAAATGGAAAGCTATCTTGTTGTGCTCAGGGGCTGGAATATTTAATATTGTTAAGATGGCAATCTCCCCCAAATTGATCCACATATTCAATGTAATCGCTATCAAAATTCCAGTTGCCTTTTTTTCAGACATTAACTGGGAAAATGCAATGGACCCAGAATAATTAAAGCAATCTTGAAAAAGAAGAAAGTTTAGAGGACTTACACTAGCTTATTTCAACACTTACTACAAAGCTACAATGATCAAGATGGAGTGATACTAACCTAATGATAAACATAAGATTGATAGACTTGAGAATCTAGAAATGAACCCTTACATTTATGGTCAATTGATTGTGACATGGGTGTCAGACCATTTGTTGGGGGAAAGAACAGTCTTTTCAACAAATGGTGCTTGGACAACTGAGTATGCACATGTAAAAGAATGACTGAACCACTACTTCACGTCATATACAAAAGAAAACTCAAAATAGATCAAATATAAGAGCTCAAACTTTTTTTTTTTTTTAAGATTTATTTATTTGTACATACAGAACTGGGATACAGGCCAGAGGCTCAGGGGTGGTGAGAGGCTTCACCAGAGACAGAGTGGGGAGCAGAACAGATAGATCCATGAAGTACACTGCTGAGGGGAGCAGCGGGCGGGCCAGGAGAGGTCTGCCACGCCATGTGGTCACCTCCAGGGCAGGCGGGAATCGAACTCATGCGGAAGTGGCTTTAGTTCCTCAGTGCTGTGCTTTAACCACTGCGCCACCAGGGAGGGCCAAGAGCTCAAACTTTTAAAAGACAACAGAAGACTAAATCTTTTTGCCCTAGGGTTAGGTTTTAGGGAAGCCCCTGAATAGCACTCTCTAAAAATGGTGCTTTTATGGTACATGAATTATAAAATAAAAAGTAATGAAAAAAGTTAATGCAGAAAATCAAGCCAGCCTATGGCATGGCATCAGGGTGGGGTGGGGGCAGGATTTCCATTCAGAGCCAGGTGGTACCTCCTGGCCATTTGGCTGGCTCAGCAGTGTCCATGTACATCCCTCTCCTCACCAGCCAGAGTAGGTCCACTTTTAATCCTGCATAAGATTTTTGTTTGAATAGAGGCTCCCCAACTAAAGAATAGTGAAATCTCATGACCCAATTGATCTACTGCAAAGAACTCCTCCTTGATCTCAAAACTTCAGACTCGTGGAAAATTAGTATAAGGGAAGGCTATGATTTCAAAACACAGACACAGACCAGCAGCCAAGACCAGGAAGGATTGGAGTGTCACGAGCAGCATGGGAGCTGGAGCCTGGCCTTCTGGCAGAGTAAACTAGCAAGGCTTCCCCTAGTCCCATCTAGTCTCAGGGAAGCACTGACAGACTTGAGAAATTCTGTTTCATTCATAAGCCTTGACCTAGCATGTTCTGGCTCTTATACCCAGTTGGGTAAGCCAAGTCCCTGATGGCTCTGCTCTCTTCTCTTGAACTGAGCTGAGATCTTGTGTTCAAAAAGGCAGGTGAGCAACTTTTAGTTGGGAGGATAGAAAGCAGGGGAAATTAGAAACCATTGGGAATTTGTGCCAGACATGAGGAACATGGTCATAGATAATTAACTTACCCCTCAGGAAATTCTTGAGCAGGAGGTGAAGGGACTTGCTCCAGTTCCTTAGGATGAATATGTTGTAAAATTGGGATGTGAATCCAGAAACATCTGATTCCAAAAGTGTGTGCTCTGAAGAAGCTAGAAGCTCACTCAAAGGTGAACAGAGGCCCCTACCATTGCTAGGTCCCACTATTAGCACATTACTTGCTCATTCATTCATTCCATAAATTTCCCTGAGTGAGCACCTAGTACCAGTTAGGGTGTTCGTCACTAGAGACACAAACTGAATACCTGAATAAGGCATGAGCTCTGCCCTCAAGGATTTACAGTGTAATTGGAGCCAGGTCTGGGCTGAGACTTAAGATCAGGAGCTGAGTTAATTATACCATCAAGGGAGGCCACATGGTGGTTTGACCAGATGGTAAGTGTTTTTTAATATGAAAATGAGAATACAAGTTTTGGTGCAATGGAGGCAAATAAATTGCCAATTACCTACTCATCCCCCACACTGACCTGGAGATGTGTGGGGTGTGGGAGAATTAGCAGCCGCCATCAGCGAGCAGAGGGGGAAGTGGTATTCTGGGGCACCAGCTTCTTCTCAGCCACAGCAGGAAGTGGAGTGAGGGCTTGCAGAACAAGCCAAAGTTTAGGGGAGTTTCTTGACTACAGAATTTTGGCTTAGAAAGGTCTTTGGGAGGGAGCAGTGGCACCTGAGTGAGAGTGGGTTTGGGGATGAGAATGGAGGTGATCAGAGAGAAAGGTTGCAAATGAGGAGTGAGACCAAGGAGCTGAGGTGTTGCAGTCCTACCTGAATCTGGGGTAAATACATTTCATACTCAGGTTGTGCTACTAATTTTAGTACAGGAAACAGTGATGATCTCTGCTCAGGGCACCAAATAGAATATGGGGAAATTTTGTTAGGAAATGAGAGTGGTACAGTCTGCCTCAACCCAGCCTCTAAGTCACTGGCACTGCTTAAACTGGCAGAGGAATTTAACCTGGAGAAGAAGCCAAGTGGCTACTGGATTTAACTCAAACCTGACCTCTCAAAGTTTTTCTTATTCTTTTAGCTGTCAAGTATACACTTAGTGAATACTTCCTCCCCTCCAAACATGGTCTGCTGCTGTGTCCAGCTGATGTCTGTTTTAACAGAGACATGATGCTGTGGAAAGAACTTGGACTGTGATATCAATAGACTAGAACTCAGTCATAGGGTTAAAAGCCCCATGTCCATAGACAGCCAGGAATGGAATCAGCTAGGACCGAAAGGCAGGATTTAGAATTCTCATTTTCCCATGTTTTACTGCCACATCTAAAGGAAACCCTAATTTACCTAGCTTCCCCTTCCTCATGAGTACAAATAACTTCCTTGATAACTGCCCTACAGGGATGAAGATGAAACGATACCTGAAGCCTACAGCATAGAGGCCAGTCATGGTATACCTCTTAACATTTTTAGTCACTACAGACAAAAGCTACTGGGCTCTGTCGCTGCACGTAGTAGGGGTTCAAATGAATGCATCATAGCACATGATACAAACTAAATTGCATCTCCCTCAAAATTCATATGTTGAAATCCTAATACCAAGATGTGATATCCTAATACTCAGAATTTGACAGTATTTGGAGATAAAGTCTTGAAAGAGCCAATTAAGTTAAAACAAAATCGATAGATGGATCCTTCTCCACGGAGACTGGTGTCCTTATAAAAAGTGTAAATTTCGACACAGAAATGGACACCTGGAAGACACAGAGAGAAGACAGCCACCTGTGAGCACAGGAGCAACATCTCACAAGAAACCAATCCCCTTGCTCTTGCCTTTAGAACTGTGAACAAGTAAATTTGGGTTGACCAAAGCACCCAGTCTGTGGCACACAACCTTGACAAAAGAATGCAACAAGCACACGTGCCTTTTTAACTCATGAGCAGAGTGTCCTCCCTCGTGCTGATTAGAAACTGCGACTGTGTCTGGGGCTCTGGTTCTCTGAGGTGAAGGGCCATCAGAAGACCTGAGGATGCCGGGCCTGTGGGCTGGCCACGCCGTCTGGGAGAGGTGCTGCCCTCTCGGCTCTTGGCGGTTAGAGCAAAACTTTTCACCTCTCGAGTGGTGACTTGCTGACCAGAGGTCCTCCTCATGGAGCCAGGGAGAGAAAGCGTCGTCACTGTGGTCCATTCCATAGGTGCTTTTCAGCTAGGGCTGCACGGGAGGGAAACAACCTGGTGTGTGATGATGGATCAAGAAAAAAGCCCGAAAAGTGCTGTGTCTAAGGTCACCCTGGTGCTCTCTGTCCCAGCAAGAGAGGCGAAAGAAGAGTGTGCGGAGGGATCCAGGAGAGGTGGCTGATGTGAATCTCAGCGCACTTTCCACCCACAGAAGTGGAAACTGTGCCTGTGGACCGGAAGGGCCTGGAAGCCCGATTTTGTGCGGGACCCCGGGTCAGTGGAGGACCGCACGTAGCCCCCCAAGAGCGGTATGCCCGGGATGGCGGCTCTGGCTGACAGACCCGTGCAGGCGGCGGGCGCGTGCCCGACACGTCCATGGGGCACTGCCCCCTCC